AGGCACCTGGAAGTGGTGTCTTTTTCCAGTTTACACCAAGTTGTGGTGTGTGGTAGCCATGGGGCTGGTAGAGTGGGTCCAAAGGAGATCAGTAGCTGAGCCCACAACTTGTGAGAGGGCAGAGCTAGAGGGGAGTGGGGTCACGCACACCCCGTACTGTCCCTGGGGGCGGTTACAAAAGCCTGGGCTCTGGCTCTGCTTGGCCTCTCAGAGGGCCAGCATTAAAAGCAAAGCTCCTGGGATTCTGGAAGCAGAGAAAAAAAAAGACAAGGGGAGGCTGCGGATGGCAGGAGCAAGGTAGGATGGCGGAAGAGTGGGTCACGGGCAGCCACAGGGCCCGAGAAGATAGCCTTCTCTGTCTCTGCTCTCTCCTGCTAGCCTGGCAGCCTCCCAGAGGTACTACTTCGAGGTGCTGCACAAACAGAACGATGAGGGCACGGATCATGTGGAAGTCGCGGTGAGAGCCCTGCCGTGCCTGCCCCCCAGCTCAGCTCGGAGCCGCTCCTCACCCCTTGTCCCTTGAACTCTTTTCTAAATCCAGCTCCCTCCAAGCCTCCACATCCACCCTTTCTCTTCTTCCAGTGGCGACGGAATGACCCTGGAGCCAAGTTCACCATTATTGACTCCCCTTCCCTGTCCCTTTTCACAAGTGAGTAGGCTCTGCCCCTCCCCTGGAGACAGAGGTGAGCTGGGGCCAACATGTGGGGTTCGGTCCACTGAGGGGATTTGGTTAAGGGAGGGGTGGAGGCTAAAGCTCAGGGTGCTTGGAACGTGGGTGGAAAGGGGGTCCAGAACAAGGAACAGAACTTAAAGGGAGCCTAAGGTCAGAGATCCTTAACTCTCAAGGGTCAGTGACCCCTTTGAGAACCTGCTGGAAGCTTGCTGAGATCTTGCCCCAGAAGAACGCCCTTGTCCATTCACACACAATATGTTGTGTACAATTTCAGGAGCACCCAGAGACCACGAGGCTCACTCCAGATGAAAAACCTCTGAGTGAGGCCAATTTCCTATTTTACAGTTGAGGGTCCCATGGTTCTTTGCAAAGCCATGACCAGAGCTGAAGAAACTTTCTCACCTGCTTTAGATTTGCAGTAAATGAACTCTTCAGTTGTACTATGTATTGCTCATGATTTCCTATGCATCCGCAGGCCCCACTGAGAAATCACCAGCGGGCAAGTGGGGCCACGTGGGCCCGGGTGTAGGAAGAGTAGGCAGGGCCAGAACCCCAAGGGAGGAAGGGAAAGCTGAGTGCTGGGAGGAGACTGGGAAGGCAGTGGAAGGTGTGTGAGAGACAAGGAGGGCAGGATGGGGACAGGCCGGGGAGGCAGTGTGGCAAAGGCAGGATAGGTAAGAGGAGGTTGATGGTGAGTGAAGCTAGAGGCCACAAGGTCAAGGCAGAAGGGGCAGATCGTGAGCTGCTAAGTTGATGCAAGAGGAAGAAGGGAGAGCTGGAGTCCATAGATGCAATGTGAAACGAGAAGAAAGAGGCCCATAATAAACTTCAGGGAAGAAACTAGTAAGATGAGCCAGAGGTAACCAGCCCCAGGTAGAGAAGGAGAGCTCCACCTGGGGCTGAAGGCAGATGAATCCAGACAGCAGGGAGCAGCCAGGGCAGTTAGAAAAGGGGAGGGGGAGGCCTGGCTCACTTGGAAGGGAGAATACTAGTCTGGGGGTGATGGAGGGGGCAAGGCGGCGCCCTGCCGTGGTCCGCCTTGCTGGCTTGTCTGTCTGAGACGCAGCATAACCTGGAGGCTGAGACTACACTGACCAGGTTCAGATTCAGCTTTGCCACTGACCAGTTGTGTGGTCTTCGGCAAATGACTTAGATTCTCTTTGCCAAAGCTCCTAGTCTGTAAAGTAGGAATAATCACTAAACACCTAAGGTATACGGTGTTTATGGAGATGAAGTGGTTTGATATTTATAAGATGCTTAGAACAGTGCTTGGCTGGTTATTTATTAAGTGCTCTGTACATGTGTGTGAGATAAATGAAGCAGACTTAAATGACATTTCCAGGGGTGCCTGGGTGGCTCAGTCGTTAGGCGTCTGCCTTCGGCTCGGGTCGTGGTCCCGGGGTCCTGGGATCGAGCCCCACATCGGGCTCCCTGCTCCACGGGGAGGCCTGCTTCTCCCCTCCTTCTCCCCCTGCTTGTGTTCCCTCTCTCGCTATGTCTCTCTCTGTCAAATAAATAAATAAAATCTTTAAAAAAAAAAAAATGACATTTCCAGCAGAGAGCAGTAACACATTTGAGGAAGTGGTATCTTTTTCCAATTTACACCAAGTTGTGGTGTGTGGTAGCCATGGGGCTGGTAGAGTGGGTCCAAAGGAGATCAGTAGGTGAGCCCACAACTTGTGAGAGGGCAGAG